TTTGAAAGATAATCCCAAACAATCGAACGTAATCCTCTGAAGGCAAGATGATAATTTATTATTACCAATGTAACATTGAGATAAGCAACAAAAACTCTATTTTATTTTTAGCTGAGAAATTCCAATAGCTCGATAAACTTGTTTTTCTAAATGTGATGTTGGATGATTTCTCGAAACTATTTCAATGATATTTATATACTTTTCGAAAAATTTTATTCTATATTTTTCGAAATGTATGTATTTATATCTCAAAAAAAAAAAGGTATATCTGTATTCTATTCAAGAATAATATATTCATCAGATAACGATAAAATTCATAAAATTATTGTATAAGAAATAAAATGATATTTTAGAATTGAGGTAAAATTTTTTAATAAGAATGAAAAGCTCTCTTCAGAGCAGATATTTATGTTGCAATGATTAGGCAAAAAAAAAAGGATGATCTAGTTTCTTTTTGTGAATTGGCTTTATTTATTTAGGAGAATATGACAAGTATTGTCTAAAGAGAATGATTAAAATGGCATACAAAAGAATAATCAAATTCGTACATTTCATTTATTAATTATTATAGTAGACAAAAAATTATATATCACAAAATTTATCGTATTTATTATATTATATGTAAATTTATCGAAAGTTACGGATTTTCAAAGATCTACGATTTTTTTCTCAATTATGGATTGACTAATTTTATTTGTCAGTGAATGGGACATAGCTTCCAGAAAGTCTGAGGTATCATACGCTATTGTAGACTCTTTCTCCTTTAAAATGAGCCAAGAATGAGGATTCTACGATATCCCTATCAAACGTTACATTATTTCAAAGATTTACGATTTTTTCCTCAATTATGGATCGACTAATTTTATTTGCCATTGAATAGCAAATAGTCTCCGATAAATCTGAGGGATCATACGCTATTGTAGACTCTTTCCCCTTTAAAATGAGCCAAGAATGAGGATTCTACGATATTCCTATCAAACGTTACGTTATTTCAAAGATTTACGATTTTTTCCTCAAATATGGATTTACTAATTTTGTTTGTCATTGAATAGCAAATAGTCTCCGATAAATCTGAGGGATCATACGCTATTGTATACTCTTTCCCCTTTAAAATGAGCCAAGAATGAGCATTCTACGATACTCCTATCGAAAGTTACGGTATTTCAAAAATTTACGATTTTTTCTTCAATAATCGATCGACTAATTTAATTTGTCAGTGAATGGGACATAGCTTGCAGAAAATCTGAGGGATCATACGCTATTGTAGACTCTTTCCCCTTTAAAATGAGCCAAGAATGAGGATTCTACGATATTCCTATCAAACGTTACGTTATTTCAAAGATTTACGATTTTTTCCTCAATTATGGATCGACTAATTTTATTTGTCATTGAATAGCAAATAGTCTCCAATAAATCTGAGAGATCGTATTGTAAACTTCTTGCCCTTTAAAATGAGCCAGGAATGAAGATTGTACGATATCCCTATCGAATGTTACCGTATTTGAAATATTTACGATTTTTTCCTCAACTATGGATCGACTAATTTTATTTGTCAATGAATGGCAAATAGTCACCGATAAGACTGAGGGATCATACGCTATTGTAGACTCTTTCCCCTTTAATGTGAGCCAAGAATGAAGATTCTACGATGTCCCTATCGAATGTTACAGTATTTCAAATATTTATGATATTTTTCTCAAAAGATGATCGACTAATATAATTTGTCATTGAATAGAAAGTAGTTTCGAAAAAATCTTAGTGGTCGTATGCTATTCTAAACTCTTTCCCCTTTCAAATGAGCCAAGAATGAGCATTCTATGATATACGTATCGAATGTTATGATATTTCAAAAATTTAAGATTTTTGATATAAAGATATTTGAGAATTGGGCGAAGGATTTTTTGTCGCAAAAAACATCGTATATATATATATATATATANCTCGAGAATATACATCAAATATCAGGAATATGCAGTATTAGTTGCGAAATGAAAATTCGAAAGTAATTCTTATGAAATTTTGAGACAATTGACTTTGTATGTATTTATTGGATATATATATATATATATATATATTTACATGATAAGAAGTTATTTTTACTCTCTTGTGTCACAGTGTTACTAATTTTCTATAATATAATTTTAGAAAAAAATAACTTTATAACACATAAAATAATTTTTTCAATAACCTTTCATTTAATATACTAGTTTTATAAAATTTTTTTCGAAATATCACATGCAAGCTAACATATAGAATTTCAATGGCCACTCCAATTCGACGTTTATTTTCCATATACGAAGTTTCAAACTATCCTCTGTTTCACTTGGAAAACAATGTTTCAACTTTACTCTGATTTCTCGTACACACACGCGCAGACTTGGTAACATCTTTTATACATTTCGCAAAAGATAGGAATTTTTAACAGTCTTTTTAGTTTGAATACCTTTACAGGCGCGCCTACCAGTCTCGAAAGTTTGAATAAATACATGAAGATCGCCTTTCTGCGATTCATACTGAATTATCAATATTTCTCTCACGCTCAAAGTATTCGATGGGAAAACACAAAGAAGCAACGGTATATCCTTACACATTTCTTTTCGTGCTAAAAATCTATACCTCCATTAAATCCCTATATTTATTCACTACAATAATTCCATACGATTCAAAACCCAAATTCATTAATTCATTTTTGAGTCAATTATTTTTATCATTCTAACCATTCTCAGGTATTTCTCAGGAAAATTACACTGAAAATTACGGAACTAAAATTTCTCTCATTTCTCTCTCTCTCTCTCTCTCTCCTCTTTTTCTCTTCCTCCCTCAGTGATAGTATTCCACGAAATTGCTCGTGACTGCTCGTAACGACAAGGCGTGCGAAACGTGACGGGTCGGTACAAACGCGGGAATAATTCGAAAGGGCAAGGGTCGCGGGTCCGTGATCTCCTCTGAACCATTCCCTTGGTCCACTCGCGTACAGATTAATGTCCACGGACAGGCTTATCGACAATCTCGCGTCCGTTCGAATGGACGGCCGAATTTATTCAGCGAAGAGGAACGCGCGAATGCCATCCTGTAAAACAGACAATAAATTTCCGACACGGTCTGCACACTCTGGACCAATTTCTTCTTTGCCTAGTTTTTTTTTTTTTTTTATATTGTACGCGCGAATTGGTATAGTTATATTTAAATACTCTATAGAGAAAACTTTGGATGAATTTGTATTTAGTAGAAAATTACTATCGTTTAATAATTTTAACATTAAATTTATTATGTTTATACTGTAAATGTTATTTTATCTAATAATGTTTAAGGAAAATGAAGAAAAACTGTACATGATAATTATTGTTAATTAGTGATAAATTTTGAAGAAAGAGGTTAGGATCCACGCTTGAAATAAAAAATTTTTAAGGTTAGATTTGTCAAATCTAACACATCATGTATTCAGAGCGAAAATTAGTAAAATTCTTGAAATTACAATGTTTAATTAGCTGATAGGAAGGTATTAGTAACATTTAAAAAATTATGACTTTTTTATTCTTTATTTTCGAAACAATTCAATTTTCACAAGTGAGATCTAAATTTCACGAGAGCGGTTTTATATTGTACGCCCCTCCGCAAAGTAGTAGCTTTAATATCTAAAAAAATATGATATCATAAGTTACGGATAATTTTCTCTCGCCCATTTCATTCCGTACATCTTTTCTTTTTTTTCATTTTTCTCATTACATGCTTTTCTGTCCTTTCATTTTCGCCTGTCCCTTTTTTTCTACTGATTTTTATTCGAATATTTATAGTGTAATAAAAAAAAAAGATGAAGAGATAAAGGAATATTGTGTAGCATTGTTCGAAAACATTTTCGTCCTAACCTAACCTAACCTAACTTATTATGAAAATATTTACATCTCTTGCGCAATGAAAATAATGTTAAAAGTATATAAATTTACAAGTTTTATTGATATTTAATATTTTAGTAAAAGTGAATGAAATAAATTCTATAATCTAATTTTTTATTTGATGGAAAATTAGAAAAATTTTTAAAAAAGAAGTTTATAACCTATAACTTGTAACTAATTTTTCGTTGATATTATTGATTACAGTAAATTAGTTTTTTTTTTTTTTTCAAAAAATGAATATTAAGGAAATGAATCGAATAACCACTGTTATTATTTCCATTTAAACTTTATGCAACGTGAAAAGGAAAATAAAATAATACGTGCATGTATATATATGTCAAAGTCGAATTGAACTTCGACCTGACCTCGTTTTATAGGGATTACGACCCAAGGAAACGCATTAAGAGGCGATACTCGTTTTTTTTTTTTTTTTTTCTTGAATACATGTGTGCCATTGGAAACGAAAGAAATGAGTGATATTATTGAATCCTGATATCATAATAAGATAAAATATATCGTAAAATATTTGTTGTCACTTAAAATATGCGTAATGTTAATAGCATAAAACATTGGCAACAAGATTATGGCCGTGATCAATGATCTTGAAATATTTCCATCAAAGTCACGATGACGAGGATACAGCTTCTTCTTTATATACAGTGACACAAAAAAACAAAAATGGAAATTAAATTGGAATATAAATAACATTGTAATTATAATTGAAGATTGATAAGTAGAAAATAATTTGAAGTTCATTTTTATTTCACAGTTAATTAAATATTGAGATTATATTGAATATTGGAGATATCTAAAAAATATTGAATACATTTCAGTCTTAATAATCTAGAACTTTATTTATTTTAGAAATAATTAAATATTGATGTTATGTAAGAAATATTGAATGTCATAATCTTAATAATTTCTATTAATAGTCAGAAAATAATTTAAATCATTTTTACATATGTTTATATTTAGTTGACTTAAAAACAAGAAAATGTATATTAATTTCTTGAAAATTAATCTTATAAATTATACATACATTCAATGAAAGTTAATGGTTTCTTAATGTAATTAATTTTTGATAACATACATCTTGAACATTTTGTTTTATCTAAATGATGGACTTCACTCATATCTGTAACTTCACTGTAGAAATTTATCTGTCAAAAATAATATTATGTTTATATTACATTTACTCAGTTATATAAGAAATATTGAGATATAAAGTTTTTTTCAACTTAATAACCGAGGGAATAATTCATCTTTTCTTCATATTTTACTTATTTATATTTATAGAAACTAAATTATTCATAATGTTTGAATAATTAACTACAATTAATCACATTATCCTCACGTTAATTAGATAATTTGTCGACATTCTTTGTTTCAAATATAAATATCAATTTAATCACTTGATTACAAATTAAATTTTTCACTTCAAGTATTGGAAATAGTAATAATACAATTATTCAAAAAGATTTATAATTCATGTCGAATCATTTAACATGCATTATTCTTAATTTAAATTTATTATGGTTACAATACTGAATTTTGCCCAGAATTTTGCAAATAAAAAAATTTAGAAAAAAATACCTTTGATTGATCGCATTCGTACGTTTCAACGAGGAGAACACGTGATGAGGCACAAAGAACCAATTATTCGATATAATATGCACGATACTAAAACGTTGCTCGAGACACGGTACATAAAACCTTGTCAACACGTTCATTGACAGTGTTCTTGTGAATGGGCATGGTCGATTATTGTATGCCTACTTACTAACAAGATCGAATTAATTGACAATTGATCAATGTATGTTCGTATTAAATTTCATTCTCGCCCTATTACGCCACGCCAAGTTATATCCTTCCATTGTATTCGCACAAATTAACACGCGAGAATGCAGAAAGTATAAACACTAACGTTTTCTATTCGTTCAATTGGAAAAGATAAATCGTTCTGATTTAAGAAATATATATCATAGGTACACTCTAACCTTATTTTAATATCTCACTTTTGAAAAAGATTTCAATTGTTAAATTGATTCTTCGAAGCAGAATAAAAAAAAAAAAAAAAATAAAAAGTTATTTG